TTATAATCAAATCAAAGAATGATTATATAATACCTTGGAATCTTTTTACTTGAATAATAAATACAATATTTATAATTTTATTTAATAAATAGTTTTTGTTATACTAAATCTTTTTATAATCTAAACAACCAAAATCAAATATAATTCTTTTATTATATTATTCAAGAATAAATTCTTCGATTTTTATTCCAAGTTTTATAATCTTACCGCTCAGATAAAGATTCTTGATAATAAATGCTTTTATAACAACCTATTCGACAAAGCAATATATTATTTAATAAATATCTTTGATTATAAGTTCGCATATTCCACTATAGTTGATAAATATGCCAAAGTTTTAGATAATCTTGATATTATTCATCAAAGACTTACTCTAACCCATACTCTCCATTTTCACTACTCTTTTCAAGGTATTTGTTTTATCCAATCCCTTTCTATTTTTAGTATTGCAATATCTCATAACAATACCCCTGGAGTATACAATAGATCTATAATATCCTCTTGTATACTGTATCACTCGCCCTTTGCTACACCTGTCCTCATTCTATAACACTATTCAAATAATCCCTTTCCTACTCCTTCCTCTAGTTTCAGATAAGTTATTCCTCAATACACATCTTATACCTCTGCTGTTATTAATGAAATTAATAATAAGATAAATTCTGAGTTGGATATTAAAAAGTTTGATAACAATTATAATGGTCAAGAAATTGATCAAATTGACTAAATCGATCAAATTAACTAGACCGATAATTTTTTCATCTTATTCAAGGATACTTTATAAATATTATCTCTTTTATAGGGCAAATATAGGATATATCATATCTTGACTTATACACCCTTATAAATAGCCATTATCTCTCTTTTTCAATCACTCTAATAAGGGATAGTATTACATTTAAAATATAAGATTTAATAGATTCCAAAGCCAATAGTTATACTTTAATTGATCAAAACCTAATAAAGCATTTTAACTACTATACAAAACCAGTTATATAAAAACTACTGATTCCTATATCTATTAAAAGATATAGTAGTATCAT